CATATACTACTTAAGAGTTAGGAAATACTGAAAGAACCATGAGATTTATAATGTGAGTTTTTAGTTGTAATCTCCATGTTGCAACCAGTCAGGTTTACTTCATATCATAATCACAGGTAGTGTACAAATTACAAGACTTTGGGTACATTTTTGTTAAACATTATGTTGAGATAAAGTGATATTCAGTTGTATTTTGGAATGTTACACATTTATGAGAAAGTATGATCACATAACATGGGGAAAGTTCATAAAATCTAGATAATATGTGATCTTGGAAAGGCAAATTAAGAGACATAACATAGTAATGATTGTTCAGTGCTGAAGAGTAGAAAGTAAATAGAAGTGACAGGCTAATGGGTAAGAATTTCTTCTGATGCTGATGAAAGATTTCTGGACTGATGGCAGGCAGTGCTTGTGGTTAGTTTACCTGTATATCTTTATATATCGTTTGAATTTAATGATAAAGAAGAATAATAAATAATCCCTAATGCTTTTATATATAAACTAACTAGGGATTTTATCATCTTTGAAGATAGGAAAGCATCTGTAAGAAATTTTCTTTACACATATGAGTATATTACATGTTAAGAAGAGAGCATTGGATCCCCTGGAACTGGAGTTACAGGTAATTATGAAGTTCCTTGTAGTGTGAACTGAACCTGGATCCTCTGAAAGAGCACCCAGTGATCTTTACCACTGAGTCCTCGCTAGCCCTGGAATGGACAGTCTTAATCACAATTAAATTGATAGCACTATAACTCTTGAGTGGCATGATGATTGTATATAATCTTAACATATTATTTAACTGTAGGTATTGAATGAAAACAGCTATTACAGATGTAAATGTAATGTCTTGTCTTTCATATTATTAAATATCAGCTGCAACATGGCTACTAGAGAATCTTTCCCATGACTCTAAGCAGGTGTGATTTCAGTGGGCACCAATTATACAATGGAGCAGCCTTCTACAGCTCTTTACTCTATATAAAGATTAGAAATTTCTAATTTTACAGCTGAAGTACATAAAACACTACTTTCATATCTGTCCCCCACCTGCATGCTTACTTTTATTTTCAATCACAACATTTTGTCTATCTAGAAATCAGATTTATAAGACATTTCAGTTGACTTAAAAATGTAAAAATATCAATCATTAACTTTATGTTCACAAATGTATAGTTTAATTCAAACCTCTTCAGCATCCCATTAAATTAGAAAGATAATTATTTCTTTTATTTTTGAGATTAAACAACAATTACAACATTCCCTTTCCTTCCACCAAACACCCTTATATAGCCCCCTTGCTCTCTTTCAACTTTATGGCATCCTTTTTCATTAATTGTTATTGATTGCATATATGTGTATATACATATATATCCCTAAATATAATCTGCATAGTGAGTATATATAATACATTTTTCATCTGTACTTCCCGTGTGTGTGTGTGTGTGTGTGTGTGTGTGTGTGTGTGTGTGTGCGTGTGTGTGTGTGTGTGTTTATGTGTGAGATTTCAGGGTTGACCATTTGGTATTGGATAACCAATTGGTGTGTTCTTCCCTGGGGAAAAATATTTAACTTTTTCACACTCATAAAGATAATTATCTTAACAGGCATTCATTTTGTTGCATAGTCATTAGGAACTTGTTGCAAACTTGATTTTTGAAGTCAAAAATTCTTCTCTGTGATTTTAGACACACATTATTACACTGTAAATAATACCACTGCTAACACATCAGGAATGTAAATGTTTGGTGTGTGTTACTTGCATGCAATCTCTTGGTTATCTATGAAAAATTGAGAAGCCACCACTAACATGAACTCCTTCTTGACTGAAAACATAGTACAGACACATTCTGAATTTTATATTATCAAAAACCTTGGGCTGCTTTTCTGGGCACATAGAAGTTAAACTGACAATAGGTTATCTAGCTTTTCTTGAAGCTTCCTGTGGTCTTGTGATGTGATTAAATTTAACATGAGGACTTCTGTTAAATTTAATCAAATGGAAAGTCATCACTGCCCACTAACCTGCCTCTCCTTCATAAGGTAAGGGGAGATGCAGACAGACTGGAGTGAGTGACCTGTTTATGGCAAAGGAAGACTCATGATGAAGATCCAGTAACTGTTCAAATGCCCAAACACCCATAGAATGCAGGAATCTCAGTTGTCAATAAAGAAGAATAGGTATTCTAAGTCAAAACACTGTATTTTACCTAAATATAAAGAGCAGTTAATTTATATATAATTAATATATTATTAAAATAATACCACAGTTTTATATTTCATTTCAAAATAATCACCCCCAAAAATGAGAGGTTGATAATTTAAAAAACAAGAAGAAGAGTATGGGGGGAAGCAAAAGAAGGAGGAGGAGGAGGAGGAGGAGGAGGAGGAGAAATCATATAATATGGTAATTGGGTGTTGTGTCAAACCCTAATATCAGACAAGCTAATTCATTTTAATTATAAAATATAATAGGAAAGTAGCTGTTCCCCAGGGTAGAGAACCATTAGTACTTAAAGAATGTTCTTGGTTCTGACACTAGAATATATTGGAGAATGTAGATAGACTCTGAAAAAAATTAAATGATTTATCTGACTTAATTTTTTCTATCTTTTAATATAATCCAAGAAAGGTATGTACTGTATATATTTTGTTTCAAATAATTTAACATGAATTACTTTTGTATATTATAATTTGTGCTTACAAATGCATGTATGCTTATTATCAATAACTGATCTATAGTAATACAATATGTTAAAAATATAGATTCTTTGATTTTCCTTTAAAATTCCATAACCTTCATTCATAAATATACTTATCATGAGATCAAATGAGCTCAAAAGGCAAACACCTTTATTATAGAGTGAGCACAGATACTAAAATTAGTTATCATTATCATTATAATCATAATCACATAAACATTAACATGTATTAATAGAATGCCGATTTAATCGTATACATAAATATTTTACATGTACCTATTCTGAAGACAGTATTTAAGCAAAGCGTAATCTTTGCATAATTAATAACAAGGTATAGATTGCATGATAGTGACGTGGGTTCATATTCCATCCACCTACTAACAAAAGGCTTCTTTAAGTTGCTTTTCCTGCATTGTGCTTGAGAATTAAAATAAATTGGAATAAATACATGATGAAATTAAATTAAGATAATGTAGGATAATGTAGGATACATGTGCAGTTTTTAATGAGTCACACTTGAAATCATACCATAGTTGCATTACTATCCGCAAACAAATGATTAATATTAGTAACTCAGTTATAACACTCTGTGTATGTATGTATGTGTGTATGTGTGTGTATGAATGTGTGTGTGTGTGATGACATCTGTTTTTCTTAGTCTCATTTATTTTTAATTTTTTTTTTTTACCTGATACATTGCAATTCTGAAAGTCTATGGGTATCATGTTGTGGTTTGATGTATGTTACTCTGTAACATTAAAATTGGGATAAAGCTCTCTCCTGAAGCATGTATAATTATTACATTGAATCTTTTCAAATATTTCATGTAAGGTTAACTTTACCAAACAGTAAAATATAACTGCATATTGCCACAGCTGTAGGATAACACAAAAGCAAATTATACATCTAAGTAGAATTTGGTTTCTGCTAATGAAATCCTGGTTCTCTCAGATTCTGGTAACTTATACAATGTTCTCTTCTCTCAGAAAGCATAAAGTGTTTTCTACAATGTTTAATCATTTAACTTAAATCAATAGAATTTTATGACAGTGGAATACAATGGATATTTTAAGTAATTGTTTTATTTGGAGTATTGTAAATGCAATAACACAATAAACTCTTATTTAACTTGTACTTGATGATTGCATCTGGATTACGGCCTAAACTTATCACTCTTAGCAAATGATTACTCATGTGGCTCTCTCTTGCAGTGAATTAGTCCATTTACCATTTATATTATTTATGAAGTAATGTCACAATATTGTTCCTAACAAAAGTACAATAGGAATAATATTTTTGCAAGAAACAATGGAAATAAAATCATTCTTCCACATCCCAACTCCTACCCACTTAACAGTCACAGACACAAATTTCAAAAATTTCAATAAGTAGGAGAGGTTCTGAATTCTAGGTGAAACCTCCTCTTACACCTTGAGTATAGCCTGATGAAGCAGGCACGTAGACTTATCAGTAATTTCCCAATAAGATACCAAACCACTTTTGTCAGAAAATAAGTTTTCCACATAGATCAAGTGTGGGTAATATTTTTTAAACCACATACAATGTAGGTCCGGACATAAGGAAATGAAAATATATGTAATCACATCACGAAATACCCCTATGCAATAACACACCACAGAGTGGAAAACCCTGAATGCAATAAATTACATTATCAGTAATTAATGAGGAGCTGAGAGGTTTAGAGAGCCACATACGCAAGTAGCAGGAGGCAATCTTTTTATAAATTAAGTAAAGATGTAATTTGAATGTGCACCTTCGCCTTGGAGGTACTACTGAGTCTTTCCACACTTACCTCCACTCAACCATTATCACTACTCACTGTAAAACCTGAATATAATTTGAGAGCCAATTTTGCAGATTTACATTAAAGTTTAAATAATATTTTTTTGTATTCTGTCCTTACTAGTAATTGTTAACAATCAAGCAACCTAGTTAGGAAGATATTGTAGATCATTAAATTATCTTAGACTGAAAATGATTATTTGAATATAAAATAAATATAAGTTGAGGGTCACAGGAAACATGTTTGGGTAATGAATAAAAACTCAAGGAACCTATATTGAACATATTTCAGATTACAGATTACAGTGAGTATAAATGAACACTATAAGTTAAAATAATTCATCAGAGTAAAGATGAATATATTTTCTTGAAAATGATGAAATATGAGGCTTTGCATAGACGCTTATTACACTGATAAGTCATAGATAATGGAGACATAAGAATGAAAACTATTCTTGGATTATAGAAAAGGAAACAAAGCTAAAGTTAGAAATGATTCGGACTGATTAAATCATCCCCACAGATGAAACATGAAGAGTTCTACGAGTTCGATGCACAAAGCAACATTTCCACAGTAATGCAATTTGTCCTGTTGGGATTCGCGGCTCTCCCGAACCTCCAAGGGATTCTGTCTGCAGTGTTCTCCATCATTTATCTGATTATCCTCATTGGTAATTGCCTCATAATATTAATAACTAGGCTTGACCGTGCATTGCAGAAACCCATGTATTTTTTCCTGGCAAATTTTTCCTCTCTGGAAATCTGTTACATATCAGTTACTGTCCCAAGGATTCTGTTCAACATTTGGACACAGAATAGAAACATTTCTGTGTTGGCTTGTGCTGTGCAGATGTGCTTCTTTCTTATGTTGGGAACTGATGAATGTTTCCTCCTGGCTGTCATGTCCTATGATCGCTATGTGGCCATCTGCAACCCTCTGCACTATCGTCTGGTGATGAACCAGAGAAAATGCACTCAGCTGGCTATTGGTTCCTGGCTCAGTGGCATCCCAATCCAGATTGGGCAAACCTGTTGGATATTCTCCATGCATTTCTGCAATTCTAATAAAATAGATCACTTCTTTTGTGACATACCCCCCATACTCAAGCTGGCCTGTGGGGACACTTCCATACATGAGCTGTCTGTCTATGTGGTTGTTATGGTGGTGGCTGCACTGCCCTTTATACTGGTGCTTACATCCTACAGTAAAATTATTGCCACTATTCTGAGGTTACCAACAGCCAAAGGGCGGGCAAAAGCCTTCTCCACGTGCTCTTCCCACCTCCTTGTGGTGGTTTTGTTTTATGGCTCTGGTACCATTACCTACTTGAGGCCAAAATCCATGCATTCTCCTGGAACTGACAAACTGCTCTCTCTGTTCTACACGGTTGTGACTCCCATGTTCAACCCCCTGATATACAGTCTTAGGAACAAGGAGGTGATTGCTGCACTGAGAAAGTTAATACTCCAAAAGTAGGGCCTTGTGTTAGCATCGAAGTGTTTTATTTTCTTGCATTACTTGTCACTCACACGTTTTAAAATATTTTATTCTCATATTGAGAAGACAATCATTTTCATTTTATAATGCATTTTTCAAACATATTTTCTCGTGCAGTTTTTAATACTTAAATGTGCATTAGGCAAGTTCATCCATCCCCAGTAAACCATCTCAGAAGAAAAATGTTTATTTTTTATAAACAAAATTTTAATATTGCACATATTTGTTTTAAATATGTGGAATGAATTCAAAATTTGTTGTCCACATCTTAAAAATAATAGAAAATTATGCCTGAATATCTTCATACCTATATTTTCTGGTAGTCTTCTATGATTCTGAAGCATATAGAGCAATAACTACCAATAGAAATAGAATAATGAATGCTTATTGAGTAAGTAAGTGATAAGTGAATTATCAGTAAGTCTTCCTAGACCCTACTAAATGGTTCTGGAAAAAAACCTACAAATTTTACAGCTTTAGTTCCTATTTGAGTGTATTTGTTTAAGTGATAATGCTCCACTATGGGATAATTTCATAACAATACCAAAGGGAAAGCTGAGATCCACATCCTTTCTCCCCGAATTAGTATGAGACCGATCACTTCATGGTATAACACAACACTATAAACATACTCACTATTTTTGCACTTATTTTTCTCCTTTGTTATGGTAACCCTGGATTATTTTACTATGAAGTTCTGCTGTTGTTTTTGCTGTTGCTGTTTTTCCTTTTTCAACTACAATTCAAACATCAACTCTTCTGTTTCTTCATGTTTAAAAAAATAAATTCCCTGAATTTAAATGTGAATGCAAGTACTTGAGTTATTTCAGGATTTGCTGAAGTCCAAACAGTTATGTTGTATCTGCATATATGTGCTTTTTCTTTTAACCCTGACTAGAGGTACTAAAATTATTCAGACATTAAATTGTTCTGCATAGCAAAATTAAACATTGATCAACATAATCATACATTTCATTTATCCCATCCCAGATTTCCAAATTTTCAACTTATTTTGGAGGAGGTTGTGTCTTTTTCTGAAGTGGTGTTGCCATTGCTAAATTGCCCTTGCTCAGTAAATGACCTTCAGGGCATGTACAGACAAATAGCCAGATGAAATTTAGTGGTTAAAAAAAAATGAAATAAAAATAGAAGGGTCGTACTTGGGTAGAAGAAAAGTGTCATCAGGTCTCTGAGAGGTAAGAGTGAATAATGGCATTTTTACACACAAAAGGCATAATTGACATGTCTTATTACCATCCATTATTCTTCCCTACCTTTATAATATGGAGAATATAGAGGTTTGGCTGGAACACAAAACAGAGAAGAAAGAGTAGGGTTGAAGATCACATAGATGCCTGAACAATTTTAGATTTCTGATACCTCTTTTTTTTCCAATGATAGAAAAATAAAATTCATCTTACATTAAGGCATTTGCCTATTTGTCACCATTTTAAAGATTATCTCACTTAATTCATAAATCATATAAATTCGTAATATGTTGATGTTTTCAAATGTCATATGACTTGATTACAAAATGGTAGGGGTTGAAAATCATATAGATTAGTGCATTCCTCTACCATCACCATGGCAACTCCATTTTGTATTAGCTGGTAATTAATAAAGACTTCCAACGTTGGCAACATGTATAAAATAAGTGAATGTGGAGTACTCGGCACTAAATGAGATACCTGAATTACACCTACTCCTTTCAAGGCTAACTTTGTGAAGAAATAATTTCAGAGCTAGAGGAAATTGACATCCGAAGCAAATCAGTACTTTTTTGGGCATAGCAGGACTGTAGCAAACATGAACTCATAGCAGATGGGACTACATGCACAAGACTTGGAAAAGATCAAGCCAACATAACTGTCAGCATGGAACAGGGAGGGCTCTATTAAGCCCCAACACTATCTGAGACACTATTGGCAATTGATGGCCACTTAGTAATGAGGAATGCATTTTATTCAGTGAAATGGTGCCTAAATGGTTGTCTGTACTCAGGCAGATATCTCTAAACCCATACACATATATGAAGTACAAACTTAACTCAAGGAGAAGAAGGGAGTTTGGGTGTTGAGAGCAAAATGTGGTGGTGGAGATGGGAAGAAATTGGAGAAGAGGGCATGCAGAGTTGATTTAACCAAAACTTGGTTGTTGTTTCAATCTCTTTGAGTGACAGGCAGAATTAATATCTCAGTTAGAAGGTTGCATGGGAAAAGAATTGATCCCCAGGGTAGTGAATCTTATTACTTAAGGAATATAGTTACTTTATAATCTGAGACATTTGAGAAGGCAGTTAGCAGGTGTTTTAAATAAACTTCTTGAGGTGAAAACTAGCTTTTCCCCTCATTTTGGGGGCAAACAATAATGGTAAGTATTATATGCAGCATACAATCAAATAGGTAAGTGTGAAATGATTAGTCAAATACAAGGTTATTTGTATAAGTATACAAACACCAGAAAATAACACTCAATGACAGAGAATTAGATAAATCTTAATTGCTTAAATTTTAAACACTGACTGAGTTAGACTTAATACATTTCTGGATATAATTGCTAAGTAATCACATGAAAGAAATGGAAAGTTTTTGATTGCAAAGCAAGCTTAAATAGTAAATATTATCTCGACTTCACCAATATCTTTATTTGACTTGCCAAATTTATCAAGGAAATAATCTTTTTAAGAGATACCCAAATAGTTTGTGTATTTCAAGTCTAGAAATAAGGTTGCCAAAGAGCACAATTTTATATAACCATTAAGTAAGTTAGATAGTGGATAATATTAAATTGCCTTACATTCTATCATGCTTGTTTTAAAAGGCTTCCTTTATTTTCCATCTTGTGTTCCTATCTTAGTCTTTTTCTTCAATTGGAATGAATCTGTGAGTGTTGCTTGGTTATGGTACTTTACAGTAGTATAGAGAAAGCTCAGTCTGAACTTGAAACCATTCCTCAGTAATGTTACTACTTACTTAGATTATAGATATCCTAGCAACTCAGTTATCAAATTGCTTAGGAGGGCATCTACTTATGTTTTTGCTCTTACTTCATTTTTTATTTTATCTGGCAAGTTAATTGCATGAGTCCCGGAGTAATGAAATTCTGATATAATACATTGATATATTACCCTGGTATAATCTGAGTAAATTATTGTCACAAATATGCATAATTCCTTTATGGTGGTTAACCAGAAACACAATATAATTTCATCTTTGCTTTCCAATAGAAGTGTAGAATTTTATTTTTTTCTAAACCAACCACAGCTTCATGTCCATCTACCTCCTTCTCAGCCTATCTCCAAGTCTCCAAGTCCCTCGTATTCTCTACTGTCTCTGTTGTGAGACCCCATTGCATGTGTTCTCAATCTCTATCATTATTTTCTAATTGGAATTACAATATAACAGGATATTCATAATATTTAAAATAATTTAATATTTTATAGATTATTATAGAAAAATACATTTATATTTAATATAGGTTTGCAGTTTGTTTCTTTATCATTGCCCAGACTTACACTGTTAGCAAATGATGAGGTCTCTTCCTCTTATAGTGAGCTACTTAGTTTCATTTTCCTGTTATTTACAACATAATATGAACATAAGATTGCTCATAATATAAATAATTCCATGATATACATGATTAATACATGATTGAAAGGGTAGAAAATAATTCACCCACATTCTTACTCCCAACCATTATGTGACCATGAACACAGACACATATGTAAGATGTGCTTTAAGTGCAACTGGTGTGGGTCAGAACTTCAACTGTGAACAACAGCTTCTTTTGGAGGAGTGTTCATTTGAAATAGACACTTTAATGTGCAGTATTTTATTCAGTAAGTTAATAAATTATTTTTGTAAAACAATTCTATTTGTTAAAACATCAGGTGTAGATAGAGTATAGTGACTTAAAATTTTTTAATCAATATTTAGACATAAGAAAAAATAACATAAGCATGAACACACATTTATGCGCACAAACTCAAACACACAGAGTGACAATACTGAATGGAAAAACAAGTTTACTGATAGCAGGATTAGTGAGGAGGTAAATGATTGAAAACAATCCTGATACACAATACCCAGCTTAAAGTCTAAACACAATTTATGCCTGTGAATTTCATAAAACTTACATTGGAAGGAAAATAGTTTTGAAATAAATAATATATTAAGATAATTAATGGCTTTATTTTATTTTTAATTGAAATTACATAGTTCCATAGAACACAAGCCTAGAAAACACCTTGGAGCAACCACAGTAAAATCATAGGACATTCAGATACAAATGAATTACACAATTTAAAGTAATATATCTTATCAATGTAAAACATAAAATATATCTTAGAAGACTAAAATACCAACTTCTATATGGTCTTTTATTAATTATGAAAATGTATTTAATCATAGATTTAGAGCAGTGAAATTTAAACTTTTCATTATTAAAAAGAGAAACTAAACTGTGTGCTGTCAGAAAAATATACATGAAACTAAATAAACCAAAATCAGAAACAATGTCTATTTATGATTAACATTCTCCATAGGTGAAACATGAAGAACTCAAAACCGTAGACAATGTTTCCACAGTGATGCAGTTTGTGCTGTTAGGATTTTCTGACCTTCCCTACCTCCAAGGATTTCTATTTGCAGTGTTTTCTGTTGTTTATATAATTATCTTGATTGGAAATTCCCTCATAATAGCAATAAGCAGTATGGACCCTGCATTACAGAAACCAATGTATTTTTTCCTGGCAAATTTTTCCTCTCTGGAAATCTGTTACATATCAGTTACTGTCCCAAGGATTCTGTTCAACATCGAGATGCAGGACCGAAGCATTTCAGTGACGTCCTGTGCCACCCAGTTGTGCTTCTTTCTTATTTTTGGAACTACTGAATGTTTGCTGCTGGCTGTGATGTCCTATGACCGCTATGTGGCCATCTGCAACCCTCTGCACTACATTCTGATCATGAACCCAACAA